CAAATTTTATGTGAGACTTTAATTTATTTTATATTAAATTTTAGAATATTCTATTTAAATTAAAATGTTAATTTTTTTTGTGGAAAGATGGCTTAAGAGCCCGGCCTGAGCTTGTAAATAAGGGCTAAGCCTCAAAATTAGGTTAAATTTTAGATAACCAGGCTTTAGAATTTAAACCCTTAAATGTTGGGCCCCCTAATTCCCAACTCTAGGTAGGGGTGAGCATCAATTTAGTTTGGTCTGCTTGATGTCAAATTTTTCAAAACTAATCAACTGAATTACATAAAATGTTTGGATTGAATCGAACCAAAATGTTTGATCAAACTGAATTATAACAATTCAATTTGTCGGTCTATTCGATTTATAGGCTCTAAATGTATAAAATCAACAAAACATTCAAACAATATGAAGCATTTAAAATGGGAGATATTTGGCAAGTCACTATTGCAAAGCATTCAAAAATTGAAGAAATCAAACGCAAAAATGATGGCTTGAAGAAACCAAAACACTAAATTAGCAAAATATTCAAACATCAAAGGTAGAATAAAAAAATCATTAAAGCATAAAAAACCCCAAAACAAAAACCTAGATGACAAATGACAAAGTTTTAAAGCTGATGAAGTCTCCAAGAGATGAAGCACAACTCCTTAATGAGAAAGGGGGAGAGAGCAAGATGGAAGGGGAGAGAGTCTATGAGAGGTGAGAGGTGGGGTGAGTTAATCATTATTAAACTAGTAGAGATCACTAGCATTGGAGCAAGGAGATCGTGGCAATAAGGTTGCAAGAGCTCATTGGTAGTGTGGGCAATGACTTAGGGGATGTCAGGCTAGCCAGAGAGGGGTGAAACTCAAAAGAGAACCAAAGAACAAAAGAGGTCACGAGGAAAGGAAGAACACAACACAAGAGTGAAAATGTGAGGAGTGAGAAATAGAGTTACATGTACTCTTATTAATTAGTTTATATATTTACTTTTTAAATTATTAAAGTTAAAAAGAATGAAATGAATTGAAGTAACTAATAAACTATATATAATTTACAAATTAATAAATTATTACATATTTATATATATATGAAAATTTGGTTAGTTTTATTTATTTAATTTTAAACCTTTTTAATTGAACCAAATCGATCAACTGAATTTTTAAAAAAAAATTAAATAGATCGAATCAATTAAAAAAAATTAATTTGATTTTGCTCACACCTTATTGGGGTCATTGGATGTAATATTTCCTCTTCTTTGCCTTTCATTTAATTCTGATTAATTTTAAATTTTGAAGCAGTGAAGCGCCCAGGTCCAACACCGTGGTCCGATCCTCTCCGCTCCATTGATTGTTGCATTGTGCTTTATTGCTTTGTCATTTTCGGAGGCTTCATGATTTTTTAAGGGAAACCTGTGGCTTGCAGCTTACTGTATTGTAAGGGTATATGTACTTGTCATGTACCCCACAATTATTGTTCACAGTAGTTAACATAAAACGTGGCATAAAACATTCACGCCCTCACAAGCGCGTATTGTGGACGCCTTTCATGATTCCACGTGACATCCCCTCGCAAATAATGCTTTGTAAAGCATAAAAAATGATTTTCTTTTTCAACCTAGATTTCATTTTAAAAAAATGATAATTAAAGGCTCTCCAAATTTATTAATTTTAATTAATGATCATAAAATATTAAAATCTTATTGAAAGGCTGTGGTCTTTATTTAAAATAAAAAACATACATAACTTTATAAAATTATCCTCTGCCAAATATTAAAATATATTTTCTCCATTTAAAAATATAAGGTATTTTTAACTGAATCTCACCCCAATAAAATAATTACCTATTTTCAAACTAATTTTATCTTTTCATATTTATCTCTATTAAATACTCTATAATGAATATAAAGTCATTATCAATAGCGGCACTTTTGAAAAAAAGACAATGATTACACTTCAAAAGACTAAAAATGCCTTATATTTTTAAACATTTAACTCCTCTAAGAATACATTATATTTTTGAACGAAGGAAGTATATAATATTATTGAAATCACTATCATGGCATGAAAATATTATTAATGTCGGATGAAAAATAATAAACCATACTTAAAAATAGATTGTTTTACAATATAAAAGAAATTTACTTTTGAAACGTTTCAAGATCGTATATAAATATAAAAAATGACTTGAAAATTTATTAATTTTTTTTTTAATTTTTTCCTGAAGAGTATTTAATACAATTCATAGTTTTTTAAAATTTTAAGTAAGGACTTTGATTTGTAAAGCCTTTAAAGTAGTAGCTTAATTACTCCATAAGGTTTTTCCTCCAAATTTTTCTTATACGAACAAATAAGTTCAATTTGATAACGTCCATGGCATCAATTTTTTTTTTTTCTTGATTTACCCCTATTTGCAATTAAATATGAGAGGGTTAGTATCAATCCTTAATGCCTCGTCTTGTACGCGAGAATTTTGGCCGGAGAAGTTGAAGTGGAACTCCAATTCTTATTTTTATGAGAACTCAATTTCATCCCTCCTATTATTTTTTATTTCACTTCCATCACCATACCAAATATATTTGTTATCTCACTTCCATTTTTACTCCGACTCCTACTTTCATAAAAATCTCCTTTCCTATACCAAACAAGGCATGATTTTTGCGTTTGAAGATGTGAAAGGAGTTTCTATCCCTTGGTTTTGTCACATTTAATGGCCCTCGAGCCTAGTACGTGGTCTCTTTATTACCCATAAAAAAAAGTAGGAGGGTTAGTATATTTGAATTCAATGGGGATAACAGTGCGATGCAATGTATTTATGGCCTGTTTATTTTAACTTATTCCATAAAAAATTATTTATTTTTTGAAAAAATTTATTTTATAAGTTTTTAATATATTTGTTTAAACTTTTAAAAATATTCATAATCTTAAAAAAAGCATATTTTTTATTATTTTCATAAACTAATCTAATACAGTAGACGAGAGAGAATGTTTTAAAAAGGCGAGATATACAAAAAAATCATAAAATGTTTAAATAATATAATAATAAATTATTTTTATAAAAAAAAGCAAGGAGAATATCATTAAATTTAAAAATAACTAACTAATAATCACTTTTTTATTATTGTAACTAAACATAAGATAATGTCTGATTTTTATAAAATCTCTACAAAATAAATCTCTTTTTATAAAATCTCTAAAATATCTAAAAATTATTTATTTTTTAATCTTAAATAAATGAGTCCTTAATAAATTAACTACTTTTAAGTCTGTTTGCTCATCCGTATAAAATTAGTTAAACAGGACTTGTATTTTAAACCAAAGGCATAATTTGGTTTATCCTTAAGTCAAGTAGTGGAGAGATTCCACTAAGGAAGATAAGGTTGATAAAAATAGATTCAATTTTAAAAGAATTCTTAAATAGACCGGATACACTATGTCATTTGTGATTTATCCAATAAAAATATGATATTTAAATATCATTAAATATAAATTGATTATGATATTAATAATAATAAAGAGATAAAAAGTAAGAAATTAAATGTGAATTTTGTTATAAAAATAAAATCAATTAAAAAAAATACTACATAATATTTTATTTAAATTATTTGAAACATTTTAATTAGACAGATTATAAACGATGTGGCACACTCAATCTACATAAATACTTCTCTCAATGTTGTTTTAAAATAAAGGTATGACTCAACCTTTTTTTGTAAAAAAAAAAATGTCTCTAGGTTCAGATTCAAATTCAGAACCCAGGGAAGTTTGGGTTGGTGTTCAACGTGACATAACCTAATCTTTATCAATCCTACTGTTGCCATTTCAGTTTCAGCTCATCATCACCATCATGGTTTGTTTAGCGTGGGATAGATAATGGGCCCTAGAATAGTTCACTTTACATAGCCCACTTTGAATGGGCCTACCGAGTAGGCCTTTTCAATTTACTCCAACCAAGAGACACAATGAATTCCTTGAGCGGTAACAAATTCACAAGACTCTTCTATTTATTTTGCTGTTATTTAAAATTTGATAATAACGTGTTAAACACAGAGGCCTCGTGGGGGTGTGATGGGTAATGTCAAACTGTCAATCGCCACAAACTCGACAGTTTCACCATGTGAATGTTGAGTATCAATAGGTGAACTTTGTGACTGGTCAATTTCTTACCCCGCCGGTGAAGATTCAAGCATTTTGATTATCACGCGACTCCACTAGAAATTCTGCTGAGTAATTTGAACGCATGAAGTACTCGAAAACATTCACTGCTCATTATTAGTGCTTCTATGTTGTAGTTGAATCAATGTAAGATGTGGATATACAGGTCGAGCTGTCTTTTCTATGGAACGTGGACGAGTAAAAGATTCCGAAAAACGGTCGACATCGGCATTACAGAGAAGGAAATTTTTCGATAGCAGTGAGAATGGGTGATGCAGTCAGAGAATAACATAAAAAACCGTGTCTGCATAGCGACTTGGATGCTTGCGATTCAAGGAACTCTGTTGATAAACTTTTTCAGGGTCATTGGTTCCTTGCAAATAAAACTTGCGTAGTCCAGAGGCTTCTAAGTAATGTGGATCTCGGAACAAGTTTCCAGGTTTAACAAAAATAATATGGACAAAATGTCATATCAACCCAGTTTCAAGATCTCACACATCATCTCTTGGTCTTGTCTGTGTCGTGCCCATCACTTTTAAAACAAGATGAAGCCCAAGACAGATAGAAAAACAACATGTGTTTCCTCGTCTCCACAAATAACAGACAGAAAATCCTTTTGAAAGAAAGCTTCTTTCTGATTTACTTCACGCACATTGAATTCTCAGGAAATTGTGGACTAAGAGTATTTACAGAAGCAAACGATCAGCAATCAGTTATCAGATTCACACACGCATGGGGGGGAAAAAAAGAAGGGACAAATTCCAGAATGAAGATTTGAAGAAATACTTCATAAGCTGTTGTATCAAAGCAAAATCGCTCCTGCAAAGTGGAAGCAAAGAACAAAAAAAAGGAACTCTGTGCCAAAATCTACAAAAAAATAAAGCACTCCAAGGAAACGAGTGGGTTATCGAGTGACTCCTGCGGCTCCCTCGAAACATCGTCGTTTTCCTCTCCTACTCTGTCACTCTCACTATTCTCCACTGCTTTTGCCGGTGGCTTGACCTGGCTCCGACCGCTGGCGGCACTGACTGGCCGGGTTGGTGGCGACTTCGATCGTCGGTCAGATGCCTCGCCGCCGTCGCGGCAGACTCTTCTGGGGCCCACATTAGGCTTCCTAGTCGCCACCTGACCAGATTCCCTCCCGCGAACTGACCTCGTGGCACCCTGCCTCCTCTTCTTTTCCGGTGAAGGCTCCGATCTTCTCGCCGGAGATTTGGACCTCCTCTCTCTGCCGTCGGAGCTATCGACGCTGCACGAACGCTTTCTGGTTAAATTACAGAATGGAGGTTGATTCAGCCTCTTCCTAGTCGCTTCGTCCTCCCTCTTTTCTGCAATTGGAGTCGTCGTCGTCGTGGTTGAAAAGCTCTCGTTTAAACTGCATATTTCTGATGTTTGAGACACCTCAGAGACCTCGTCAACTTTTTCAAATTTCTCGACTCGGGGCTGAATCACAGCCATCTGGGTGCTTCTTTCTTCCACCAAAATTGAAACTTGAGGTTTGGAAATGGTTGTTTCTGAGAGAACAACCTTCACAGTTTCCTCCACCACAGTTGGCGGCAGTCCTGGCGGAGCTTGATTGTCAATTTCATGAGTGGCATTTGATTTCTTTTCGGGAGATCTCGGACGAGGTTGATGGACATGCGAACCATTTTGGTGATCTGGGTGATCTTGTTTTGGGCATTTAGGATTGCTGAAGCAGCAACCCATTTGGATGGAATAGGAGGCAATCAATCACAGAGATGTTAGAATGAGGTGGAGAGGTTAGAGGAAGAAAGTGTTTGAAATTGCATGGCTGTGATGATTTGGATATTTTGAATAACTGAAACGGCTGTTATTCAAGTGTACGTTTGTTTTGGTTTTGGAAGTCTGTAAAGATTGTGAGGCGGAAAATGAGGTCTGTTGAGGAACAGTGAACTAAACACAAGTGACAAGTGAGAGGACAGGCATTCACTGGCTTCAAACCTGTGTGGACATTCTATTCAAAAAAAAAAACCTGTCTGGACATATCTAAGGTTGATGTTCTCTGAAAAAAAACAAAAGAAAAAAGGAAAAAGGAACAAGCTTGATCCCGCTCGTGATTAAAGGAAAGCTTGGTTTTCATCGCTACAAACACCATAATTAGCTCCAGCACAACCTTGTAACATAATCATCTTCATAGGTTGAATTTTTGAAATGTTTGGTTGACCTGATATGAGAAACTAATCCCTCTCTGGAACCTAATTCCGATAGTACTCTTTTCGTTTTAAATATAAAATGTGTTTTGAAAAAGCTCTAAGTTTTATTATGTAAGGTATTTTGCATATTTCTTGGAATGATTAATATATTTTCCCCCAAGTTTTTATAATAAGAATATATCAAAATTATTCATTTTTCTTCATTAACATGATCTGTCTCACATGCATGGAGTCCGGTTTCAATGCTCAGCAGCTTTGTTGAGCACCGCGATGCTCATCATTAAAAAACATTTAGGCCATCTAGATTTTAATTTGGATGGTCCAATTTTTTTAATTTTAATTTTATAAAAATATTTTTAGATTTTTTTAATTTTAATTTTATAAAAATAAAATTAATAATTTTTGATAAATATATTCACCATCAATTTGGACAATACTAATTCAATTTGAGATTCTTCATGGTTCAATTTAATATTATAATTTTTATAAACTAATTACCTAGATATACTTTGGACGAGACAGATTTAATATTAAAATTTTTTAATAAATGTTTATTTTAATAAATATAAAAAAAAATAAAAACTTTAAATCTAGGCCTTGCAGATAAAAATTTAATCTTAAATCTGGATTGTTCAGAGTACATCCAGATAGTTAATTTATAAAAATTACAACATTAAATTAAACCATTCAAATTTAATCAATACTATCCAGAGATCCAGATTGATGATAAGTATATTTATCAAAAAAATTTATAAATTTTATTTTTATAAATTAAAATTAAAATTAAAAAAAATCTGGACCATTCAAATTAAAATTTGGATGGCTCATATGTTTTTTTATGATGAGTACCATAGTGCTCAGCAAGCAAGCAAGTTGCTGAGCACCGAAACCGGACTCATTTACAGGAGGGTAAGGTTAGGGGAAAAAACTAAAAGCCTAATACCTAACTGTTTCCATTAGTTAGCAAGAGTGGGTATGTTTTGAACGGGTAGCGTGTCTTATGTATATAATAACAGTTTCATTGGTGGATAGTTAAATAATGATTTTATAGAGAGTTACTTTTCCGAGCCGAAAGGCTTACACGGATTTTGACGACTCGTTGGAAGAAAACTCTGTTTCACGCATCTTACGTTGAAAATGGAAAGGGTTTTTGTGTGTACTAGGCTGCCTATTAGTCCCATAAGGCTGTTTGATTGGGGGGGATGGGAGGGAAAAATTTTAAAATTTTTCCTCCCCATCCCTCCAAAGCCTCTCCTCCAAATTGGGGGGGACCTCCCCTCCCCTCCCTCACCTACCTTCCCTCAAACCAAACAGATCCTAAAAAAAGCTTTTGCCTTCTATTGTATTTACTTTACTGTTAGTCGGCGTGGAGGACTTTTTGCATTTTGCAATGAAAAGCACAAAAGAGCTAAAATCCAAGGGCAACCAATCTCTCTCTCTCTCTCTCTCTCTCTCTCTCTCTCTCTCTCTCTCTCTCTCTCTCTCTCTCTCTCTCTCTCTCTCACACACACACAAATTAATAGAGACAAGGCAAGTGCTATTCCTGATAGAAGTGTGAGAAATTTATGATTACATGATTACTGGATTTTGTAATCATTAATCCTCATTTTCTTGATTAATCAAGATTCAAACATCCCATGAAGTTCCAAATGCTAAAAAAATGTTAACCTCCTCTAATTAATCTCAGTCACGCAGTTATAAAAGTTTGACAATGCATTAGCAACCATCTGATTTAAAGGATTGATGTGTTTGGGTGTTCAATCCTATATTTGTTAGCAAATCAAGCTCACTTCACATTCCCATTAGCGTTTGCAAAATTAAAACTTTTACAAATTAAAGTTTAAACACTTATGTTTGGTTAGAAGTTAATTTAAATTGTTTATAAAACAAGAAGTTAATTTAAATTGCTTTTGATCTAATTTAGATTATAGTTCTAAACATGGATTACTTTAAGGAAATTTTTTCAACCAGCTTTTAGCCTATGAAACATTAGTTTGGATCAGTCCAACACTAATTCAAAGAGTATGTCCCTGAAATTAGTATATGATATATAAATATATATTTTTTACCAGCTAGTATATAAAATATTTGAAAAAGATAAAGAAAGGATGAACAGGAACAGCAAATAAAAGTTTACGGACAATCATGTAGACATGCAACATATCTTATGTCGCCCGTTCTTTGGGTAGATCACTGTATAACCATTTGTTTAATCAATAATTTTCAATTTGTGGCTCGACTCAACTAACGTTGAAGGCCCCGTGTGTGTGAGTGAATATATCTACCATAGACCCCTATTTGGTATTCAGTATTTATTATTGTGAAAAGGAAAGTTCCGTTGACGATCAACGAAGACAAAATTTAAACTTTAATTTTCATAACTCAATTTTACAATATATTAATGGAAATTAAGAGTCATTACACAATTTTTTGAACGAATGATGAGCAGCTCATTCAACGGTCTGAAAACTGATCAAAAGGTTACCCCACGCCAGTATATTATTTCCCACCTGAAACATTCAGAAATTTCACACAAGGACCCCCCCCGGGGGGGTTCCAGAAACAAACATTGCAGACTGTCAATGTCGTTTTCATTTAAAAATTAACTACTTATGTTCTATTTTTCAGTTATTCAAAAAAATTATTGATGACTTGATACCCAAAAAAAAAATTGCATCAGCATATTCAGGTTTGTTCAAGGGACCAATCACTTTTAAAGCATCAAATGAAGTGTTTGTCACTTTAGTAAACTCAAAAAATTGGTTGCTTGGCAGAGCTAGAGATTTATAGTCAGGGAATATGTTATTAGGATCCCTTACTAGGAAAATATTAACATGTTGGTCCAAAAAATGGTCGTTAATATAATATTTATAGTTTTAAATTTGGAAAGAGTCATTATTCAAAAGCAGTGAAATGTCAATAACTGTTTTACAGAGGCAGGATGTCGTTCTCCTCTTTAGACACGGTAGACAACAAAAATAAGAAACGAATTCGAGCCGCAGGGGCAGAGAATATCTCAAGGCTCAAGCTGCGCACAGAGGAATGATCAATTAGTTCATTCATGGTCTGGCAGTCAGAGCTCAGGTTTTCCCCCATTTTGGCTCCAAACAGAACTCTGAACTTAAAACCGCATCCCCAGCAAAGACTGGTCTTCCGAACATTATCCTAGAATCAGAGCACGACAACCCCATGAGAGGGCAACTGGACCATTGGAATTTCCATCTCCCATCAAATTTAAAACACGCTACAAGAGTGCTGAGAAATGAGTAGCTCTAAATGAAGTCCCCATCATGAGCTGAGAAATAAAATCCAACGAATCTAAACAGATCAACTGTTGGGTTAAAGAGGAAAATATTTCACATGCCGAGCCCATTCATCTCTTTTTACATATAGATTACAGATGGCATGAGCATCATCGAGATAAAAGCTTGAGCTCCTTCTTACGTATGATACAAGTTAAAAAATTGTGTCGAGTAATGGAAAAGAAATCTCTAACTAGAGGCTGGAAGATTTGCAGGAGATGCAGCCCGGTCAGACTCAATCATGGACTTGATATAAAATTCACCTGCTTTATATGATGACCTCACCATGGGACCAGATGCTACATATCGAAAACCCTATCACACAAAAGGTCCAATAAACTCCATCACTCATACCACATGATCATGATAATTTATACATCTGTCATAAGAGAAAGAAAAAGCAGCTTTTCATAGACGAGTTTTTCCACAAATTAAAATTTTGCTACACTATAATAATTCAAAGATAAATTCACCATTATTACACGCGTGGTTATCAAGTTTGGAATGCCACGTACGGTGCTACACCTAGATAACTATATGCAGTGACACCAAGCCATGCTAATTGCGAGATTGAAAAGTAAGGCATTCTTCACCATGGAGTGGCAAGGTACTGACAATTCTCTGCACAAAGAATGAATTTGCAGCAAGGAATGACACTTGAAATGAAAAGCTATAGGGGATAAGAGAGAACACTTTCAGGTTCTCATCCTGCCCCTCCTCCCCCAAGAGGAAATATTCTCATATTGGGACCGAATAGTCTTTGGCAATCTTTTAATTTTTAAAACCAATGGAAAATGGTATATGCGAGAAATACAAGCATCAGTTAAGCTGGGAGGGGTTGTGTGACCAACCAACATGGACAGCAAGGCTTGGCTGGAGAAAAATCCAGACAGTAGGACACATGATGGATGTTAGTCCAGGGATGGTCAATAAGAAGGGAAATCTGAATCAAGGAAAGGTATGGGAAGATAACAGAATAGTCTTTGGAGATTTTTAAAATCTCAAATAGCTGAGTGTTTTCTTTTCTATCTTTCTGCCTATTTTCATGTTTCCAGTGTGAAGCCATCCCTGCCATTGTGGTGATCTTTAAACAGCTGGTGTCACCAGTTTAATTATCCATGACAAACAGACCATAAGTCAATTTTTTTAACTTCATAACAGAAATAATAAAGAAAAGGTGAAAACTGGAATGCAGAAGATCATCCTATCAAGCAAAGAGAAGGGTTAGCTC